GTTCAAAAACGTTTGCTCTATACGATAAAGTTGTGTGCAAAAAGTTCTCAATCGAATTCGAAGATATGATTTTCGAGCGACTTGAATTATACGAGAGTTTGACAGAATATGTACATGCACTACGTTGTAAACTCTTCCAACTAGTTAAATCTTGTTTCATATTTGTTTTTAACTATTATGATCAAACCGAAATCGAACACTAAGGTATCTGATCAAGTTTTCAGTCTACTGTGATCACCAAAACGTATATCAAGTTGATTTTTGAGTGTTTAGAAAATCTCTTAAGTCTGACCATTATTCTTCGTCGGAAGACGATCAACGTTATGTCGTGGATGACCAAACACATCAAGATAATTTAAAAGATCCATCTTCATCTCTTGAAGGACGAAGTGATGTATCACCAACATTTGTTCAAACAGCACCTGTTCTCATTCAACCGACAATGAATAATACTTCAATGCATATGGTTTCAGCAATACCAGTGGGAACTGTTTTAAAACTACAAGAAACGTCGACAACATCCAATGACCAGACACCATTACTCGTCGCTGTTAGACCTGTCGGTAAACATCGTCGTGTGCCAAGAGATTCAAAACTGATGACACAATTCTATCATCAAGCAACAGCACCCTCGTCAATTTTAATCGATAGACAATTGTATAATATAACGAATAGGTAAGTAATGAGAGTACACTGTTAGAAATCTGTGTTCTTCCGTTCTTTGGAGAACATGGTGAAGAACACGAATGTGTTCTTTGAAAACTGAAGAACAGAATATATGTTCTTCAGCCTATTTTCACGTTTTTGTTCTTCAGTAGGGTTTTTGTTCTTCAAAAAATTAGTTCTTCATTTTTATAAAGAACAAAAAACGAATTCGTGTTCTTCAGAGAATATAATTTTTGTTTCCCAGCTTTCTGAAGAACATAAATCATATTTTTGTTCTTCAGAGAACAAGAATCCACAGTCCATTAAATAGTTATTCATGAAAATGTGTATATCGGCGCAAATTGAGGAGAGGCGATGATTGCGATCAAATGGTAATAACGACCACCTTTTATAAACTTAAAAAAATAAACAAACAAACATTTTTTTGCGAGCTGTATGATCGTTTTTTGCTTTTGTTGAAATCTTTTCTGTCAGACCATTGATTTTTGGATGATTATTCTTCTTTCAGATTCTATTCTATCGTCGTTTTGTCTGTTTGTTTTTGTTTATGCTACAGAGAAAACTTAGAAGTAAAAGAGGAGTTCCGGACTGTGAGCTGTAATCATTTGTTTTAGTCTTCCTGTTCGACCTTTCTGTTCATATGCCAGAAACTTTTCTTATTTGATGCATCACCTTTTCTGCTTATTAATGTTTCTCTACATTTCAACTTACTAATAAACTTTTATACCAACAAACTGATCGAAATCTTCTATGACGGTAGTTCTATATATGAACAGACAGCCACGTTCTTAAAGTAAATGGAATCACGAGGATTTGAGTTCTTCAGCCGATATTTTTTTGTGTAAAACAGATGTAAAACAAGGCGAAGAAAAAAATTATTGTTCTCTAATGAACGAAAATTATATTCTTCAACTTTTTGGTAGTTCTTGAAAAACCTGTTCTCTGAAGAATAAGTTGTCCCCTATAGGGATCAAAGAACTTAAAGAACAAAGATTTTGTCCTTCAGAAAACTGAAGATTCTTGTTGTACAAATCTTTGGAGAACACATATACGATCTCCATAGGGGACAAATGAAGATCATTTTTTTTGTTTTTTCAAGAACCCAGATTTTTAACAGTGTAGAACATACTTAATCTTTATCTTAATTTAATTATAATTAATAAACAATCTGGAAAAGGCTGATCGGGATTTTAACAAATCTAGAGAAATGGCAACGTTAGTGTCAATCTGAAAACAAGCTGGAAAC